CTTTACAAATGAGGACACCATAGCCCGGATACATTGCCCAGCTTGAAATGAATCTCACACAGATGAAATAGGGGGTGAGGCTGGTATTAGAGCTTGCGTCTCCCGATTCCTAGTTCAGCCCCTTGGCTGGAAAGACTTGCAAACTAGAAGACTGGCACATTCTCTCTTCTGGCTCACATTTGACACCCCCAAAGGGAGCAACTCAGGCACACTCCTCCTAGTTGGTGGGGGTGGGATATGGGGGCACCTTGCTGTATGTTGTCTATTTTTAGCCTCCGTATATGGCCTACTCCCTGCAGACTCACTGGGGCTGACGTACTGCTGTGGGATTTAAGGCACTCTCCATGTTGCTTGGTGGTTGCCATGCCAACAAAATTTAAAGGAAATTGGGTTTTTCTAGTAGATTATTTTAGTGGCAGCTTTAAAGCCAGATTAGGGTTCCGACTCTGAAGATTAAATGATGCAAGTGATTAGTACTGGTATGTAGTAGGTGCCCCATAATCCCTGCTGAAAAACAGGATGGATACATGAATGCAATTAGTTGCATTAGGAAGCTGAAGGTGTAGCAGCAGAGAACTGATCTTCTGCTTACAGTCAGTACTTAGAGTCAGTCTGGAGCAAGTTTACTCATATCCTCCCCGGATTTTCATAATTACCTGACACTCTGTGTGTGAACTGATTTGCCTGATTCCAAAAGACTGCCTCTGATCTTGAGGCCATTGATGAGCTGTGCAACCCAGGGGTCCCCAGCTGCACATAGCTGCATGTTGCAGACACAGAAAAGGTGGCAGGAATCTGACCAGGGAAACTCGCGGGTCTTTAACGGGGGCAGGGAACTTGTGCACATCTGAGAGGGTCAGTGCTCAGTCCTTCTAAGGATGCATTTTTGCAAATATAATGACCATATTTAATGAGCGAATTTGTTTAAATAGCCTCTCTGTTTTGAGCAACCTATGTTTGAAAGGCCCATCCCCTAGCCACAGTGACTGAGCATCACCAGATAAGCAGACAGTCAGGGGAAGTTGTAAATCTCTGTTCAGTTCCCAGGTCTCTCAGCAAGTATTTTCTGAAAATCCCACCTGACGAGTTCCTTCCTTCTCAATAGAATCTATTTTCTCTATTAATCTTTTGGCCTTCCTCTCTCCCTCCCTCCTTCCTTCCAGTGGCAGAGAAAAGAGCAGTCTTTTGGAGTCAAAATTAGATTCAAATTCTTGCTGTCTCTGATGCCTATTTGTGGTGTGACATTCCCCAACTTTCATTACATCTCGAGCAGAATTTCTTTTTGTACACAAGGCACTACCAATGTCTATCTTGGATGGTTACGGCAACAGTGGAGTGTTTCTCAAACTTTTAGTGAGCATCAGTCACCTAGGAAGATAGGCAAAAATTCGGATTCTCAAGATCCATAGGCCTAGACTCTAATCCATTAGGCCAAAGTCCCAGGTATCTGCATGTTAACAAGGTTCCGAAACCAGAAAAATTGGCATTCATGCTGCCTGTCACTACCAGAACCAGGAAGTAGAGATAAGGATTGAATTTTCACGGGCACTTTATTCAGATGCTGGTGATCTGAGAAAATGACGGGTTGCATATCCTCAAAAAAACTGTCTTAACATCTCATTTCAAGTTGACCTTTTTTATTGAAAGAAGAAAATGGTAGGTAAGGAGTTTGGAAAAAGGTTAGGCAGATAAGAGTTGCAGTCCAGTGGCAATTTCCCTAGTATTTCTTTATCTGATGATCAAACAATTCTCTATCTGTGTCAAGGACATCCCCTCCTTGGAACACAATGGCTCAGACACCATCTCCACCACTTTCAGACCCCCTGGGGCACAGAGGTTGAATTGCTAGTTGACCACCGAGAGTTGAGTAGGTCATGAATTCCAGTTCCTTGAATAACAGCTTTCCACAAGCATTACTCACTGAAGCCTATTAACTATGACTAAAGGTAAGATCTTTAACTGTAGTCAGTTCTGGACTTCAAGGGTCTTACTTTGAGAAACACTGTATATGCATAGAAATCTCATTCAAAAATGAGATTTGTTGAAAATATTCAAAAGGTGGGAGCCATGATCATTATTAACACAGTAAACATTTATTGAACATCTACTGTGTATCAGGCATGACACCAGACTCTATAGTTATGTCTCACTTAATTTCTTTTACTAGGAATTAATTTGTCATTTATGTATGCCTTGCCCCATCCCATTACGTGTAAGTTCCTAAAGGGCAGGATGAAGCAGTATAATGTATCAGAGAAGAACATAAATGTTAGAAGACATGAATTCTCTTTACTATTTGTATGATTTTAGACAAGTCATTTCATCATTCAGGACTTTGTTTCCTTCATCAAAAATTAAAAAGGCACTAAGTGTAGTGGTTAAAAGTCTAAAAGTTTAGAATCCTGACCCTAATGCTTTCTAAGTATGTGATCTCAGGAAAGCAGCTTAACTTCTTTGAGCCTCAGATTCCTTTTACATGGAAAGGGGATTCATTTGTTCAACATTCATTCCTTCAATAAATACCTACTGAGCACTTTCTATGTGACCAACACTGTGCTAGGTACTAAGAACACATTGGAGAGTGAGACAGATATGGTCCCTGACTCAACGTAGCTTACAATTTAATAGTGGACACAAATATTACATAGGTAACTACATAAATAACTAATCCCATTGTGGTAAATTCTATTGTGAGACATTTAACTAGTAGGAGCTAACCTAGCCTGCGGGAATCAGGGAAGACCTCCTGGGATAGGGAAGACTGAGCCCTGAGGGATGAGGAGGCATTATCCAGAAAAAGAAAGACCTGAAATGAGAAGAAGCTGGACTCTTTTGAAGAAGTAAAGGGATATCCATGTGCCTAAACTGAGTGCACAAGGTCCCCCCTCACACCTCACAGGTGTGGAGAGAATTGAGATAATAAAGTGCTTAGCACAGTGCCCAGCACCGAGAAGCATATAATCATGGAGATAACACATCTGGTTTGTTGTAGACAATGCATGAAGAAGTACTGTGTAGATTCTCAAATTATATCATTCATCAGAATCACCCAGAGGGCTTTTGAAATCACAGATTGCTTAGTCCAACCTGCACAGTTTCTGATTCAGTAGGTCTGGCTTGAGGCAGCTAATATGCAATTCTAATCTAACAAATTGCTAGATCATGCTCATTATCCTGGTGTGTGTGGAGGGGGGAAGAAAAGGGGATTTGGGATTTGAGAACAACTAGTGTAAATTGTGAGGTCCTAAATGCCTGTCTGTCAATCAAAGCTGAATCTCCCACAATGCTCAGCTCTAGACCCTGTGCAGAACAACCTCTCCATAATTATTTGATAATACATATTCTTTATATTTTCAGAGTGAGAAAAGGTGTTTGAAAATCCACACCCTTTCACTTATATGGGAGAGGAACTCAAGGACTAGAGAAGGTGAGAATGCCACCTAAGCAGTGGAAGCAGCCTGAGCCCAAGAGCTTTTCCTCAGGAGAGCGCACTTCGGGTGTACTTTACCGCAAGGGAGCCCCTAAGAGTGGCTTTACCACGCATGCTCCCCGCGTGGGCTAAATGACCAAGATGACCTGGCCCTCCATGACATGCACCTTGCACATGCAATATTTTCTTACTGAATAAAGTAATTTTTGGACTAAACATATTTTGGGGAGTCATGAGATGAATTCAATGAAATATACACTTTTCAAAGAGAATATATCTTACGACAACTGCCTATCACATTTTATGTGGAAACGAGTACCTATTAGCTTGCCCTGTCTTTTCTGTTTTTTTAAATGTATGTAGTACCCTCTGTTGTAGTAATAATATTAATAATAAACACTGAAATGAAAATGACAGCTTATCTTATCCGTGTATGTCTGGGTCAGAGAGTGCTGTACCCTCATCACCTCCTTGGGTCCTCACCACCCTATTAAGAGGTTGCGCCCTGATTATCTCCACTTCACAGATGAAGAATCCAGGCTGCGGAAAACTCGTAATGTGATGCATGTCCTAGAGCCGGGATTGAATCCTAGAACTAGGACTTGAATCCAGGCTGACGCCAGACCTTGGGCTCTTAATTACAATGATGTGATGATTCATTTGTCAAAAAAAAAAAAAATCAGTGTTGAAATGTAATAGTAAAGCTCTGAGACCAGAAATGCCCTGAGGAGTCAAGATGATGCATTTCAATAACTGTCTACAGAAGAACTGTCCACACAGGAACAACCCTCCTTTGACAAGAAAATCCAACAGTAACGTGTCTACTGGTTTCATATTTCAAGAGTTAGAATAGGAATATACCAAAACAGATTTTTTAATAAAAAGCTGAGTCATTAGGATCCTTCAGAAGGGAAGAAATCTGTTTTTCGCATAAATCTAGCTTCTGTGGGAGGGAGGGGGCATGTCCCTCAGGTATACCTGTGCTGCTGGGGGTCTTAAATTGCTTTATGTACCACAACCCAAATACTTCACTAGATTTATTTCTGTCGGTTAACTAACAGGGCACTCGGCTAGGAAGGCAAGAGTAGCCTCTCAAGGTTAGTTATTTTGGAACACCCTCGCCCTGTTGCTTAGCATGAAGAGGTCCTAATATAATACCTGGACCTTTCTGCCCGATTTTCGAAGAGGGTACATGGCCACGCATCATCCTCACCCACACTCCCCTTCTCCCCGATAACTCTAAAGTGCAAAAAAGCTTGCCAGGGCCTGCAGAAAGCACAGCGCCTACGAGGCTGGCATGCATTTCGTTTTCCCTCCTACGGGGAACGATCTCAGCATCTCTCCCCGCGTGTCAGTGGAATACTGAGCCCGAGCCCGAGCACAAGAGCCCGGGCTGGGGGAAGGGAGCCGGTGTGCCAGACGGCGGGGCAGAACGCTGGCGTCGCCCCGCAACCGCCGCGCTCCAAACCCCCCAGGGCGCTCGCTCTCCAGGCGCTCGGGGCGCCACGCAGCCACGCGCACCGCCCCCGCAGGCCCGCGCCACGCTCCGCCCTGGACGCCGCTGGTCCCGGCGCCGGGGCGCGCGCGGGTGGGAGCGGGCCCGGCTCATCCTGATTTACGGCTCTGCTGAAAACCGCTTTGCTCCCACAGCAGCAGCACCGGCCGCAGTGGCAGCAGCAGCAGCGGCTGCAGGTGCAGCAACAAGTCAGGTAAGTGGCGGCCGCGGGGCGTCTGCGCTGTGGCCCAGCCTGGTGGGTGCAGCGGATGGGGGCGGGTCGGTGCTAGAAAGGAGGTCCGGTTTCCGCACAGCGGCCGGGAGTTGGGCTTCTCGGCCCCGCACCTGCACGAACTCGTGTGCGCACGTATCCACTTTTGCACCCGCGGGCTGGCATGCTACAAGGCGGGGGCGGGGAGAGCTAGGACACCGGAGTCAGGGTCCTTGCCTGCCCTGCCCAGGCAGAGGAAATTAGGGCTTTTCTGCTAACCCTGTATTCTGGGGTTTCCGCTGGGCCCTTGAAAGCTTGCATACTCCCGGACTGTGTGATTACCCATTTCCCTCTCCAGAACGCCACCCCTTTCCCATTGCTTCTTAGAATCCTGACTCCCCCTTCCTTCACCTCTCACCCGCCTTTTCGGCCAGGGTTTGCACATCATCCCAGAAAACTGGGATGCTTAAACAGTCCAGTGTAGCATAGGAAGAGGTTCCCCTTTCTGCAGGCGAGGGGCTTATTTAGGAAGCTTTGCCTTAAATGTCTGGGGACCATTTGCACCTCCGCTTTTGAAGAAGTTGGGGGCCCAGGAACAGTACTTTTCAGCCTAGACCCTTAGCTGAGCTCCCTCTTTTGGGAACCCAGTGCTTCTTAGGTTTAAGTAGAAATCATTTCTGGAGGAAATAGATACTGCGCGCTGCTTGCAGGATTGGGTTGCTAGCAGTCATCTGTTGCTACGGCTAAGATAAATTCCTACAATGAAATAAGAACTTCCTGTTATTAAAGGAGTTATGCTGATGCCTACGCAGTTCAAACATTGGCCATCTCTAGAGGTTGACCCTTAAAATAGGATCAGAGACAAGATAAATCCATCCAGAACACCCTATTTTAATAAAGCCTTAGCCATGGTCCACTTAGATCAAATAATATTTGTCACACTGGATTCCTAAATTTTAGTAAGTCGAGTATGGAGGCCATTGTTCTTATAACACTTTGATTTATATCATAACATCAATAATTAAAGGACAAAATTAAGGGCAAAAATCTCAGGCTAAAAAATTTTCAGCTGTGTGCTTAATGCCACACACAGAGTTTCAGTAACATCTTTTCTGTCCTTTAGAAAAGATCACTGAGCTTGCTCTCTTAGGACCTATTTTGGCAATTCATGCTGAGTTTTCTTTTTCTTTTGTATTTATGCTTATCGGGTTGTTAGTAAAATAGGGCATGGTTTCACAGTGAGTATACTAAATTCAGAAGGGCAGGAAACTTGAATCCATATCTGGACCTGACATTTTCCATCTAACCTTGAACTAATTACATTACCTCCTTGCTCCAGTTTTCTCATGTGAAAAAGAGGGATGTTACCCACCCTTTTTATTCCGGCCAGGGGTTAGCAAACTTTTTCTGTAAAGTCCAAGTAGTAAGTATATTTGGCTCTGCAGATCATAATCAGTTCAATGCAAAAGCAACTGTAGTCAATATGGAAATGGGTAGATGTGGCTGGATTTGGCACAAGGATTGTAGGTTTTAATTTAATTTACTTTTTTTAATCCTCACCCCAGGACATTTCTTCATTGCTTTTAGAGATAGAGAAAGGGAGAGAAAAACAACCATGTGAGAGAGAAATATCAATTGGGTGCCTTTGAATCCATAACCGGGTATATGCCCTGATCCCTAATCAAACCCAAGACCTTTGGGTTTACAGGCCGATGCTCCAACTGACTGGGCTACACCAACCAGGGCAGGTTTTAATTTTATATTATATGCAAAAGTCATTGGAAACAAAGCCCTCTGCCCTTACAGAGATGAAAAACAACAGTCATTTCAGTAGGAGTTTTTAACCATACATGTAAACTACCTGCTTTATGTTCCCCTGCCCAGGACTTTTAGAGTAATGCAACAGAAGGCTTTTGAAGAAAGCAGATACCCCTGGCAGGAGTCCTTTGAGAATGTTGCTGTGTGCCTGCCATTCCGCTGCCCGAGGTGCGGAGACCATACTAGATTTAGAAGCCTCTCGTCATTGAGGGCCCATCTGGAATTCAGTCACAGCTACCAGGAAAGAACCCTATTGACAAAATGCAGCCTCTTTCCATCCCTCAAAGACACAGACTTAGTCGCTTCCTCCGAACCCCTGAAACAGGGAAAACTGCAGAACTGTGGCAATGTGGTGAAGCAGAAACCCAGCTATGTTAACTTGTATAGCATTTCGCACGAACATTCCAAGGACAGGAAGCCATTCGAGGTGGTGGCAGAGAGGCCTGTGTCCTACGTGCAGACCTACACTGCCCTGGACCTACGTGCTGACTCTCTGGATGATCTGCGGTCCAGTCCCGGACTTCCCACCCCAGACGCCAAAGCTGCTTTCGAGGCCCATATCCGAGAAAAGTTCAATCGGATGGTCGAGGCGGTGGACAGGACCATCGAGAAGAGAATCGATAAACTCACCAAAGAGCTGGCCCAGAAAACTGCAGAACTGTTGGAAGTCCGGGCAGCTTTTGTCCAGCTGACTCAGAAAAAGCAGGAAGTTCAGAGGCGAGAGCGGGCCCTGAATAGACAGGTGGACGTGGCCGTGGAGATGATCGCTGGGCTGAGGCAACGCCTGACCGAGTCTGAGGAGGAGCTTCTCAGGAAAGAAGAGTAAGTAGTGTCGCTGAAACAGGACGCTAACTCCTTTGCTCTAGGCCGCTTCCCACCCTGCCCTGCCCAAGTTACAAGCAAATGTTAAGCAAGGTTTGGTTTTTATGACTTGCAGTCACCTTGGCTGCATTTCTCATTGATATGGTCAAATGTGGGAGGCACAACGCTGTAAATGTTATTCTCCCTCTCTATGTATGGTCTGCTACCCAGCAACCTGAAAGTCAGAATATCGAATTCCTTCTCACCGTGGAAACTGTAAGGAGTAGTGCTTTGTTTCTCTGGTGGGTGCCATTCCCAGCACCCACCGGTGTTCCGGGGAGTTGAGTGGGTGGGCAGAAGATACGTGCCAGAAGATGATTGCTATCATTCAAGTATAAAAGTTTGCTCTATATACAAATAAATTTGGCTTCTTCACCATTTTAGACTATCTGCCTACTGTAATGAAATGTCACTTGCTGAGGATCCATTCAATTATACTTTTTATTTGGAGGTAACAGGCATTAAGAAATCCAGAGGGAACTTTCTGATATTGCTGTGCTTCTGTGAATTAAGTTTGAAAATTTTCATTTTATAAAATGTGATGTCATACTAGAGTAAACCATGCCTGCTTGCAAAGAGTTGACACTGGTTTTCACAAGTTATAGTTGATCAGATAAGCTAATACTTCAAAACTTGTACTTGGAAAAGCATTTCCTTCTCAGTAACTATGGAAATTTTTTCCATAACTAAACTAAACTAACCACACTAAAAAAAGTGTATGTAACAATGCATTTATGTATTCCCCAAACACAGAATATTGGATTTAATTTTAAATGGAGACTTGGAATACATAGGATGAAAGAACATGAAAATTGATAAACTAAAACATCTTAGAAGGAAGGTTTCCAAATAATTTGAGTCCCGTTATAGAGGTTGACTTAATTCCATACTTTCCTGCCCTCTGGCACTCTTGCTTATGTGTTGTCTCTTAGTCGTAGAACTTAAAGTTTCTGCACTTGGTAAGAGGCTGAGAAGCCCTATATGTTAAAGAGATCATCACTCCCTATACCAAACGCTTCCATTCTACCTAGAGGAAAAGCCTGCTCTGTCTGCTCCACTAGACATTTTTCAAGTTACATAGTGAGGGCAGAATTGATTCAGCCACTGATTTGCTTCGATCTTGGGAGAAATGCTATCTAATGAAAAATGTTTTTCTCTTGGCCTGTGGTGTTTCCTGGTGGGAAGTTAGTGCCTTGACCCCTTGTGGCTCCAGGGTAACTAACATCACGCCACTGGGATAATGGCGGATGGCATTTCCCTGTGTGCAGAGAAAAGCTTAGAATTAAATTTTGTGGTATTTCTATTGGACTCAAGAGCAGTGAATTAAAAAGGTAACCAAATTGATTGTTTGCGTTTATTTGTTGTATTTCATTTGTTGAATCTATTAGTGATAATCGAGGTGGAGTTTGAAGTGGTGGAAGCCTGGAGTCAAGAAGACACTGTGATGGCAGGGAGGGTCATATGGTTAGGTCAAGGTTATGGTCAAGGATCTAGTTTTATTGTAGCGGTGGGTTCAAGGATGTCTTATTATTAAAAAGAACTGGTTAACTATCTCAAGTAAAAGTGGGCCATGCATGGATCAATAATGATAATGTGTTTTGGGTAATCCGGTGCCGTCTGCTGAGGACCAGCTGAAAACTGAAAAACTACAACATACTTATAAAGAAGATTAACAGGGTAGAATGGTCTGTGTTAGAAGCCCTCCCTCCTCCCCATCCTGGAGACATGTATGATGGCATACCTCATCCCATCCTCTGGAGACAGCCACTGTGTAGTTCAGCGAATGGCTTTCCAGACCTTTGTTTTGTGCATAGAATCACAGGTACTTCATACACACAGAATGGAGTCATGACACATGCTATTCTTCCACTTGTATGTGGAGTTTGTTTTTGTTTCAACATAGTGTGTTGTAAGCCTCTTTCATGCAGCAAACATAGAATCATGTCATTCCTTTTGGTTGTTGGGTGGTATTCCATGGTGGGGATGCATAGTGACTGATTTAATCAGCTTGCTATTGATGAATACACGGTTTTGTTCCATTTTCCTAGTATTAAAAATGGGGCCTCTGTTCAGGTCCTTGTACGTATTCGTTCACATTTTTGTGAGTATATCTGGGGGTAAAGTATGAGTTGGTTTTTAGTGCGACATTTTTTGGACTACCAGAAAAAAAAATCAATGTCATTAAAAAAAACATTTAAAATGAAACTACAGTGAAACTGCCTTAAATGTTTAAACATAAAATAAACAAAGTCTTCATTTTGTAAGCCTTCAGTTAGCCTGTTCCATCAGTTTCTGTCTTCAGGCCTCAAATAATCATTCTTTTTTGCCCATAATATAGGACAGAAAGAGTTTTGTGTCCAGGAAGGACAGTGGAGCTCTTGGTTTGATAGAGCATCTGTGGCCCTGGCCCTCATTGTCTGCAGGGTCCAGCCTCCCTGCCACCTCCACCCAAGCCCCCTGAAGTGGGGATGCAGAGTTGAGCCAGCGGCCCACCTGCCACACCATTGAAACCAGGTCGATTTGACTAGATCTGCCTGGCTGGGCCATGCCCCTTCCCTCCTTACCAGCTCTTCACAGGACTGAGCCTTCCACCAAAGAGATGACCTTTAAGATATGGGAAGCTGCTCTTTTTGGGTTTTTATAGATTTATTTTTGGATAAAGAGAGGAAGAGAAACATCAATGTGTGGTGGCCTCTTGCATGCCTCCCACTGGGGACCTTGGCTGGCAACCCAGGCATGTGCCCTGACCGGGAATCAAATTGGCGACCTTTTGGTTTGCAGGTTGGTGCTCAATCCACTGAGCCACGCCAGCCAGGGCGAAAGCTGCTCTTTGACCAAGGAACCTACCCGACAGTGTGCTCCCCTGCTAAATCCTTCCAAATGAGTTCTCATGACCTGTTCGTGGGGAAAAAGTAGGTTGTTACAATACCGTTTGAAATTGACTGAAACTTTGGAGAGGGAAACATCAAGTATTTAATATTCACATGAGTTTCTCTTGCCTATGGGTTTCCCCCTCAACTTTAAAATTCTTTCTTTCAAACTGTACTCTGAGGGCCAGTTCTGCCCTGAGGCCATCTATAGATTGAATCACCTCGGCTTGTAGATATTTACAAGTATTTATGCTTTATAACAGAGGAGATTCAAACAGAGTTTGAATTGGCAATATTTTAAACTTCCATGCTGGTGAGTCTCTTTGTACCTTTGTAGAGAGGTAGCTATATGTTTCTGGAGAGCGAATCAAAAACAACAAATATCTCTTTGTCTTCACGAAGTGCGTGCAATTTTAAACGTCCTATGAAAACAGTTATTTACTTATTCAAGAGTATTCAGGCCTGTAGGATAGCGCTGCCCATAATCAGGTAAATCAATCCCAGCTATCCTCCCAGTAAGGGATCCCTTAACAAGAAAGGATGGCTGTGAGTACTAGCTGACTCCTGGCTCAGTTGGTCACCTGAGGTTTGGAGAACATCAGTGCAATAACAGTAATCCTGAATTTACTCGCACACTCTCTGCTGCTGGTGAGGTCCGAATGCTGCCTGAGCACCTAGGAGGTGCCCAGCACTGTGCTAGGTGTGTGTCGGGAGCATGAAATTCTTGGTATTTTTCCCTAATGAGCTTACACTCCACATAGAAAAATCAACATACCCAAGAGCATGCCCAGGTTCAAACCCAGGGCTATGAACAAGTGCTTAACACAAGCTGTGGTTTCAAGTAAAACATTAGAGAACAGGGTTTTCTATTTAAAAGACCACAGTGAGGAAGGGAGGACAGAGGGCAAGAATTTGCATTGGTAATCAGAGGATAGGGACATTGAAGGGCAGCTGGGAGGTTAGAGACGACCCTTGAGGGGACTGTGTAATTTCGGTTCTGGATGGTACCCCCTTGTCTCCTTCAGGATAACACCCTCATTTTATAGATATGGAAAGTAAGGCCCAGAGCAGTGGAATGCCTCGCCTAAGGACAAAAATTTAGTGTGAAAACTGAAACTGGAACCCAAACTCCCTGTCTCTCTGCTGAGTGCTTTTTCTGTTAATTCACAGGGTCTCAGCCAGACTTTTGAAAATGTGGTATTTGCCCAAAGTGTCAAGACCTAAGAAGTATTGAATCTGGCCCGTTTTGGAGTAGACTTGCTGCTTTGCTATTTTGAGAGGGCTGCCAGAATGACATCATTTATTTTTCTGATGCGATTAAAGAAAATGTGGCTGGCACCATAGGTGTTGGGAAATGGAAAATGGTGGTGTCATTAATTATGGTTCTGATATTAAGCTTCCAGAACAAGAGCCCAGGGCTTTTAACTTCCAACAAGGGCTTTTAAGCTTGACGCTCTGCATGTCCACGCCCAGCCAGGGTGGAGCAGGAGCCCCCAGCCCTTGATTGCTGTGAGGGGCTTCTTTGTAATTCCATCTCTAAGACCCAGCCTGCTCCCTGGAGAGCTCTGATATAATCTTTCCCCTTTTTCCTTCATAATTTGCCCTGTTCCCCAGACTGGAGCCGGCAGAAGACCAGCCATTACTGAGTGTGTGCTGAGTACCAGGTACTGTTCTAGGATCTGGTTAAACAAGTGGTAAACCATGTCCTGTCCATGTCCTGCTTGAATGTCAGGAATAGACCAGAAGGTAAAATAGACTTTGAACAGATCATCAGAGGTATGATAAAGAGATGTATAGGGGTGGCCTGACCCAGGTAAAGTCTATTGGGTTTCTATTCAAAGCTGGCTGTGGGGCACTGACCTTTAAAAAGGCAAGTTTGACTTGGTGACTTGCTTATCACAACAAAACCCTCCTCCCGCTTAATTATGTCTTTCCCGTTTTTGATGAGCTAAAGCAGTGAATAAACACCTTGGGCTCCAGACTGCTCCAGAGCTAAGACACAGGCCAAGAAAAATCATGTTGGATGTAGAGTTCAGTGGGACAAGAAGGGGTTGGTTTGCTTCGCATTTTAATGCATTTATTTAAAGGAGG